GATCGCGAGGGCACAACCGTCCAGCTTGAAATCCTGCGAGCGAATCGAGCGAGTACATGCCGCCCCCTGGCCTGGGCACGCAGCTTGCTCGAGACGTCTCTATCGCTGGGCGCGGCGTAGTTTCCGCGCATGCGCGGCTTTGCCAGGTTGTGCGGTATCTGGTCGCGATGAGAGCGTGCTGCGCCTGTGCTCGGCGGTCGCTCGACTCAGGCGCGGCGAGTTTTTTTTTTTTTTGCAACGGTTAGACTGGCAGCTTTGATCTTAACTTGCTGTCTGCCATTTTGCTTGTAAGTTTCGCTATATATGTTTCTGTTTTTGATACTGAGTGAACTTACTAGAACAAGAAAAAAAAATGCATTTCGTGTGCCAACATGGCTGGTGCTTATCAGTCCCGCTTTCTCATAAAAAAAAAAGATAGGGACAAAAAAAAAAGAAACATAAATGTGACTAGCGCGACAACCATTCGAAACTGACCAAAGCAGACAACGCCAATCATTTGCTTCCTGAGCGATTCTCGCAACTGAATGGCCCAAACCATATATACCGTGGTTCAAGGGAAACGAGGGCAGAGAAAACGAAAGCTACACCGCTGCATGCACATTACAACGAATCGAATAGTTAAAAGCAGGCAAAACTCTTGCTGTTTGTAGTTTCGCTCCCGCAGTGACGCCAGTACGGTCCAGTTTCACTCTTTCGCTTTTAGGGAAATTACGACGCGGGTCAAGAGGATGGAGCATGTATATAACCATGGAGAGAACGCAGGGTCGAGAGAGCGGACTCCACGTTGATTTCACTCATTCAGCTGCAGCCTCGTACGGCAGCAAAGCTCACATCGACAGCCGCGTTATCAGACGCGCACGTCCGAAAACGGCGTATCGGATTCAGACTTCGAAAAGGACGGGAAAGGGAGGGGAAAAAAATAGAAACGAGCACGCTTCGGCTGAGAGAGTTCATCTCGGAAAAGCGCCGTGCCATACTTCTGCAGTCGCGGTGTTTTCAAAGGTCACGTGGCCGAGATCTCGGTACGCTAATACGCACACACGCCCAGCGAATGACGCCACGGAGTCCGCGCAATCTTCTCTGTCGGCCACCGGCGCATGTTACCGCGTGCGCCCCAGTGCATCGGGCTGTGTCGCAGCGATAACGCGCATATAGTAAAGAATGCTGTGCCTCGTTTTAGCCGGGACTAACAGGGCGGCGGAGCTCAAGAGCCGAGTCGCGACGGCGGTGAAGGTCACTTGCTCCGACGCGCTCGGCTTTGTTTGTGATAGCATCGGGAAAACCAAGAGCGCTGATTTAACTATGTGTATAACGCTGGACTTTGGTATCCCCCTCCCCCTTTCGGATGCGAGACTCCACGAGGCGCGAATGGCGCTTAACGGTTCGTCGCCGAAAGTGTCCGCCAATCCGACTATTGAGCAACGTGGCGAACACGAAACGCAGCGAATGTATGTGTTAGCGCGCGCTAATCCTGTTTAAGGATGCATGCGTGCGCCGCGGGAATACCGTCATGCGCTCCGTCGGCGTCGCTTACTTTTCTCAACAAATGCACAATCATAGTAATAGAGACTGTGCGATAACGTTTTTGCAGTAGTTTACAATGAATGTGCATTGACTACGGGGTGATCCAGCGCCGTAAAGGCCGCCACAGGGCGGCTGGAACTATTATGCGACCAATAATAACAATACTGTGCGAGCATTGTTAACAAATACTCGAACCATTTCCTAGAAGCAGATATAATAACGCCTTCCATTTCGCTTCCCTCCTGTCCAAGAGAGACGTCGTTGGGTCAAAATAATGAGCATTTGACGTGACCATTGCCGACTGTATGGACTTGCCAGGCGCGCCGCCTGAAGATAAGCGCTTGCTTGTGCGACTGATTCTTTGTCGATGTGGCTTGTCCAATTTCCAGTTCTATAGCTGTAATAAAACGCTATGACGAAATACTGCATGTCTAGAATGACACAACATTATAGTTAATCGTAAAAAAAAAAGAACGTACGGCGTAAAAACAAGCACATATCAGAGAGAACGAGCAACGCGAACGCCGTGTTGTCGATTTCTTTTGTTTTATGAGACCACGTCGCGTCTGCAAGCATTACCTTCTGATACGACGAACTGCACCTGTCCGCAAAAGGCACGGATCGAATAGCATGCATTCAATACGATATGGGTTACACGGCTGTCTGCAGTGTCAGGGGGAGATCACTTCATGTCGGTATGGAGTGAGAATGCACGTTTAAATCGATCAGTCCGCTCTCTTCCACAAGCCATATCGGCACGCCATTGTGTCCTGCTTGAACACATAACACATGTATTATCCAACATCCAATGACACTCATCTTGCTACCCCTCGCAGACAGTGCCAATTGCGATATCTTGCAAGTGCAACCTCAACGCTCTATATGTAGGTTGCGTTAGGACTCCAAGATTGCGCCTCATAGCCTTAAAATTTCAAGGCGGAAGGAAGAGTGTTCGAAGCTCGATTCACACCGATCTTTTTAAATTTTGAATGTGTACAACAACAAATTTTCGGCTACGATGCTCCCTCCGAGTCATTCACACGAAGTTAAAACGGCAAATTGGTTAGGTAACACAAGTTGTCTGCTGTTATTTCGACCTCTTAACAAGGAATAAAAAAAGACAAAAGAGAGATGTAATTTCGGAGGTGATGAAGAATCGTCGAATGCCACTGGATCCAAGGTTTCGAGAGAGAACCTTGTCCTGGAGCAACGACGAAGAGAAATCCTCTTCTCCTAGCAATGGCTCCAGCAAAATGCCCTGCTCAAATGTTTTTTTTTTCTTATGACCATCCAGTCGAACGGCTACAATAACCTGGCAGTTACAAGACTCGCCAGAAATACTGAGAATGCCATCAGACTGATAAGAAGGGTTGCCAACAGGCAACCGAGACTTGGAGAACATAACCTCGTAAGGTTGGTGCACGCCTTTGTGATGTGCCATTGCACCTACGTTGCAGCCGTGCACAACTGGCCGAGGTCGGGGCATGATAAGCTCAACACGTTAATCGGAAAGGCAATCAAGAGAGCTCTCGGGCTTCCCATGTACGCAAGCTGTGACAGATCATTTCGCCTTGGAATGCACAACCCACCGGAAGAAATTGCCGAGGGAGAGGGCGCAATTCGCCAGGCTGTCCTAGAGTTACTGTATATGCTACTTTCAGATACAGTAACTCTAGGCGGTCCCCCACGCGTTTCGATAGAAACATTGTGCGGGAGCTGGGGATTCCACCAATGGAAATCAAGTCTGGCTTCTGCAGCATTGCCTGCTCGCGCTGCACAACCGTTCACTGGCCACCCCGTGATGTAGGCACTGGATCGCGCGTTCGGAATTCAGTCAAGGCCATCTTGGCTTTCTCTTGACGTTGAAGGCGACGCTTCTTCTTAATTTAATAAATAAGAATAATAAAGACGAAATAACAATTCAGCATTCCCAAACAATAGCCAATTACAAAACATTCACGCGATACCCCCCCCCCCCCCCCACTCTGCGACGCATTTATTCGAGTTCTGCCGTGGGAAGATGCGGGCGGCAATTGTCTTTTTTTTTTTTTTTTGACGGGGTTCAACCATACTTTGTCTTCGTGCGTCCGTTTGTGAGCGTGTATGTACACGCAAGCAAGGTTGAAAATTTTCGAGGCTGCGCTGATGCTGCCAGTATAGCGCGGCGGTGAGTAGTAGTCGCGACGAAACGATAGTACCTAGGCAGGCGGGTATAGAGCTTAGCGAAGATCGCGGGAAATGCGCAGGTGGCCCGGTTTATGGTGGCGGTGCTACGCGAGGTCTTATTTATTTACAGGTACTGCTGTCTCGATAGACTAGACGCGGCAGAAATCGGTACGTGAGTTAGTAAATCAAAGGACATTCACGCAATGAATTTTGAAAGTATCACAAAATGCAGTTCAGCTATTCTTGCGCAAACTGTTCATGCGATTCTTCCCACAAGGAATCGCCAAGACTGTTCCAATTGTCGACAACGCTTGGAGAAAAAAATGCCTAAAACAAATGGCTGAAAATGAACAATTCTAAGCGGCTGAGATCGACGCCGCCTAGTGAAATTGGTATATATACCTCGATCGACGAGCACGGGTTCGCAGGTAGCTTCGCCGTTAAAAGCATTTCTGGGTACGTCCTTGTTGGCACTGGTTTTGAGTAGCGAAGCTGGCGCTCAAACCATAAAGAACCCCGTGCATGGTGTTGCAAAGGAAAAATCATCATCATCATCATTAACAGCGGGTATGTGCTCTACAGAATTTGGACAAATCCCACCACTCAGCGCTGATAGGTGAGAGGCAATAGTCTTGATAGGTGAGAGGCAAATACAACAGGCACCTCAGAACCTATGACAGGGCTGGACGAAAAAAAAAAAAAAAAACATGGACGAAGGTCCGTGTACTTCGCCTTGCTTCCCTTCGCCCATGTTCTTTTTTTGTTTGAAACTTCCCTTCGTCCGTGTTTTTTTTTTCGAAAAAAAAAAAAAAAAACGGACGAAGGGAAATACACAGGACGTGACGTACGAAGAACACGGGCCTTCATGCGTGTTTTTAGGGGCCTAAAGGCATGGGTCTGGCCATCCCTTGCTTGTACGTGACCGCATATTGTTCCACCTTTGCAAACTGTCTATACCGTCCTTGCAAACATCCCATTACGCCCCCATCACCGATCCACCTCTTCACCGACCATAAAGCCGTTATAATGAAGGGGTAACGGAAGCGACGCATAGCTATACCACTGACGAATAATAACATTTCTTGCATAAATATATACAGTGTTTGTCACGTGTTTTATGATGTGGTGGGCAATATTCACGGATTATCCATGCTTTAGCGATGAAACCCTCCAGCGCTTCGCCTTACTCATCATCATTCACTCCGTCGGTACGCTGTGACTTTTTTTTTTTTTTTCGCCCAACCCTGTCATAGATGTTCAAGAATGCACCAACTCTATCCCAAACAAGAGCTTTACTGCAAGGTACTTACTGCTTGTACTTGATGCCCAGCTCGGTAGCCTTCTTGTAGTTCGCCTTCAACGTGCTCACCTGGACACGTAGAAATATGAATCGGTTAACAAACTCTTCAGTAAAATGCGCTTGTTTAGGCGTAATCAACAGCTTTTCAATGATATATGATCCCCGTTTTTTGTATGGGTGAAAAAAGGTGCAAATAAACAGACTTGCTCTGCCTACGCTGATACTATAGGCAGAAGCAAAAAAAAAAAAAGAAAGATCGGCATCGCGCCAATGACTGAGAGATAAAGTCCTGACATAGCGCCAGGAAATGCGTAAAGTCAACGAATGACGTTCCCTATCCGTCGCGACCTTTCTCGAGCGAATGCCGATATTGATCTGCATGTTCAACACGAAGGTGCGGCACAACTCATTGATTGATTGATATGTGGGGTTTAACGTCCCAAAACCACTATATGATTATGAGAGACACCGTAGTGGAGGGCTCCGGAAATTTCCACCACCTGGGGTTCTTTAGCGTGCGCCCAAATCTGAGCACACGGGCCTACAACATTTCCGCCTCCATCGGAAATGCAGCCGCCGCAGCCGGGATTCGAACCCGCGACCTGCGGGTCAGCAGCCGAGTACCTTAGCCACTAGACCACCGCGGCGGGGCACGCGGCACAACTCAGAGCTGGAAAGATATATCTACCTTCAAGCAAAGAATGAATAAAAATAATTATGATTACAAGTTCAATTACTTTCTTTTTTTGTAGAAGAAGCGAAACGCGTCCACCGCAGACATTGGTGTCGGACCATCTTTGAACCTATACTATATATGTATAAGGTATGTTTATTGAACGGTACAGAATTTTTACAGCGTGAACTTTTATGAGATAACACAACAAGGGTGCCGCAGTTGTCCGCTGCCGGTGTCCGTGACCGATCTCGCACGGAATAGTAATAAAAATAAAGAAATAAAAGAATATCAAGAATGGAACAGGGTTCGAACCTGGGTCCACCCCCGTGGCAGCCCCAGTATTCGACCACAGAGTAAACAATGAGCCGCGCCGCTGCTGAAAACTCCCACACGCGCGCACACTTTCCAAAGTGTGCATACCATCGCACACTTTGGAAATACATATATCCGAATTGGTGACGACCCTGAAAATCGTTCAAAGTGCGAATTCACATGCGACAATTCACAAATGACACTGTGGGAGAAAGGAACCAGAAAAAAAATATAATTAGCGAATATTTGCTAACTTAGATCGATCGCTAATATGGACTTCTAGTGCAAGTGACGTCCGCCGCTCGGAGTATTCGAGCACAATAACTATACAATCACGCCATCTGTCACAGGCGACATAAAAAAATTCCGTATTTTCTAAATGAAAAACAAAAAAAAAATACAATAGACCGGTATACTGTCTCTGAGAAATGTAATGCTGGCTCTTTTGTAGGTGGTTCGACATTTTGTATTTTTTTTAAATCGTGCTTCTTCCTTTTGACACTTTGTATTTTATTAATTGACGCGCTTTCTTTTCGCTTATTCTTCCCTGGTAGTTTAGGTCACCTAATTTTTCTTGTAACATGCACAAAATAGCCCAGCAACAATTTTTACTTATGACCACTGACAACGTTGCGATATAAGCAATACGTCCAGCTTTAAAAAAAATGACCAGGAGTATGAAATTCGCACACGCCCTCCACTACCTTGCCAGCCACGAACCGAGACAGTGCAAACGAACAAACCCGTAGACGCACACTGCTGTTTGCGACTGAGCACGATCGGTTTCAAATTTCCAATCAACAACATTGTTCCCGTGTGTAGCGTGAGTGAAAGGTCGCATCGCGATAAAAATAATTATAGAAAAATCGATTCCTATCGGGCCGAAAAACGATCAAAAGTGCCCGTTTGACGGTGCTCCACACTATCTCAGCCGTTCGGGAACCCGGCCAAGAGCTGACGCAGAAGTTTGATTGATATGTGGGGTTTATACGTCCCAAAACCACCATATTGTTATGAGAGACGCCGTAGTGGAGGGCTCCGGAAATTTCGACCCCCCTGGGGTTCTTTGACGCGCCCCCAAATCTGAGCTCACGGGCCTACAACGTTTCCGCCTCCATCGGAAATGCAGCCGCCGCAGCCGGCATTCGATCCCGCGACCTGTGGGTCAACAGCCGAGTACCTTAGCCAAGACCACCGCGGCGGGGCGACGCAGAAGTTTACTTTTATCGCTACACGGAATTATCACCTACTAGGGCCACGAAACCAGCACGATAGTAGTTTGAGCTAGTTGGTGCAGCATTATGACCAACGGGGGCGAAGCGCGAAACGGACGACTCGGACAAGCGGCTGTCGTATACGCTTGGCCACCCTTGTCCACGTCGTCCGCTGAGCGCGTCACTCCCCTGGGTGATGACACGAATCAAGGTCGCGGTGCACAGAACGACAGCGCTCATCCAGTAAGTCATCAATGACATAGCGCTCTAATGACACTTTCACATACGGGCAGATAAGCGTAAAACAGACAAACAAAACAAGCTATACTGTTTTCGCAAAAAGGGCACAAGAACAGCTACAGCCCCAGTAATACTCTCAGTGGTTCTCAAATGAGGTTTCACGGAACCGTCTTGGGGGTTCCTCAACGCCATCGCCCATAAAAAAGAAAACGAAAGTTTTTTTTATATTGGCTGCACCAACAACTCAATTACAAACTAAGTCGGCTTCATCATTCATATAAAAGCACTGCGTTTCCTTCGCCAGTTATGTATTCCTTCTCACAGTAGCAAGCCCCCCCCCCCTCCCCTATTTCGTTTCGTCACACCAAGGAGTTCGCCGTCACTTCGACTAGTTCACAAGGGGTCCACCGACGCATCGACGGAGAACCACTGAACATGAAGGTCAAGCGCAAAAAAAAAAAAAAACGAGGCACAAAAAAGAAGTTGACAGGATAAAACGCTCACTATTAACTGATTTAATTACGAAATAATTGAGAAAAAATACAGACCACGCGTCACAACTGCGGCTGCGTCCATCACAAATCTGCCAATAACAGAAACTATAACATATTACGGCATGTCAATTGAAATTCGCACACCCGCCCACACGCCGACGTCTGGCTAACGCATTCTTCACCCTTAAATTTTATGCAGAATGACTAACAGTTCACGAGCAACCGTTTCCATGCTGCGTCCCAGCACCTTCGGTTTATCAAACAAAGGCACACAACCGCACACCAACATGCATTAACTCACCCAGCACCGCATTTTATTGAAAACCATGCTCTAACCACTGCTGCCAGATCACGAATAGCCTTTACGCACGATACCGCGTTCCGTGCTTGCACGATGAAATGCGCTGAACGTTAACACTGATCATGCGAAAGAGAGAGCAAGTATTATAGAAGTTTCGAACAGGAGCCTACATGCGACTACTGCGGAGCTGAAGAGACCATCGAACACGTCCTGTGCAGCTGCGCTTGCTACGACACACAGCGATGCCAGCTCCGGATGGTTTTGAATCAACTTGACCCCGGACCATTTTGTGTGCAGAAGATACTATAGGACCTTGGGCATCTGCCTCAGTTGCGCAGAAAGCAACTAAAGCACTGCTACTTTACCTTAAGTCAACAAACCTGAGCGACCGCCTGTAGACTGTGTGTGCTCTCCGAGTGTGCTCGTGATTGTGTGTACGTTCTCATCTTTCTGCAACTCCTTTTCTCCCCTTTATCCCTTCCCCAGTGCAGGGTAGCAAACCGGATGTGCGTCTGGTTAACCTCCCTGCCTTTCCTTGCATCTTTATCTCTCTCTCTCTCTCGAACAGGAGGTTTCGTAGCGCCTGCAGCTGTTAGGTTAAGCTACAAAGTTTCCAAAATGTATCGTGCGTACCCAAGGAGCCAGCATATGACGCATGTGTAGTGGCGACAAACACTAATGCAAAACTTGGTGTACCCTATTCTTAAGGACAGGCACTGGTGTACAAAACAACCCGTTCGCGTAACAATATATATAAAAAAAACCTACCTCTTGCCTGAGAAAACCCACTAGCCGGACGAGTTGCGAGACCTGAAAGTCAGCTATCTATAAAAGGAAAAAGAAAACGGTATAGGCAAACATCTCCGTCAAAATAAATGAAATCGAGGCTGCCGAAAATGGCGGAACCGTACCATAACCGCCTTATTGAACATTTGTTTAGGGTCCCTGAAAAGCTCCCGAACCTCCGGGCTCATCTGAAATAAAAATTTACCGTGATAACGCCTCTCCGCAAACAACGCACAACACTTCCATACGTACGTCTTGAGACAATGCAGCGGTCGAGCACGTAGCACCACACATCTTACACGAGCCTCGAGTGCCTGAGCAGAAGTGTGAAATTCAACGGCAACGTTAAGTTCCAAAAAAAATCATGCTATGTGCTAGAGGTACGTGCTACAAAACGATTAAAAATGTAGCCTTTACTTACAGTCTTCCTTGCAAGTCTGGCAGTACACGTGGGCGCATGTAGTAACGTAAAACATTAGCGTTTTTCTTGGCTGCGCGAAGCAGTTATTACAATAAACCATTTTGTTCATCATCATTCTGAACGGCTTTAGTGTGAATGGCTATGAATAATCAATCAAAATGCTGAGCCAGTGAAGCTCCGGCGTCGAGGAAGCTAGATGACAAAACTGTAGAAGACAAAAAAGAACTTCGCAAGCAGTGCGGGATTGCAAGGGGGCCTCGCAGTGTTGCAATGGTGGACAGTGACTTCGCGTGACTTCTGGATGGCCTTTCGGTTCGTACTATTTTTCGTGCATCTTTATTGCGACATCAAACAGAAAGAAAATGTGTTGTAAAGATATTTTAAACCTTGCAATTGCCGTCTCAATTGAAAATTTTCGCACTTTTGTCGAATTGAATTTGCCGGGAGAGTTTCGGAGCACGCCGCACCGGGTTTTTGCCGAGCCGTGCATTCGACGCTGAAACGGCCGCGCGTGGCGCGTCGCTCTTTCGTAGCATGACCGAGAGGCGCCGGCTGTGTGGGGTCTGTGGCTTGTGAGCTGCCGTAGGGGAGATTGCATCGTTTCACGAGCGGCGTTAGTCAAATAAAACAGCGCGTGGAGACGCGGCTCAGGAAAGTTGCTCTGCGCATAAGCGTAGTATCCAACGAGCTTTATTGAACTGTTACAGGGTTTCTCGCTCTCCGATTGAAAGTTTGCGTCCGAGCTGAACTGCAAACGGGGCCTCTGAACCGCCAGGCGCGTTGCATTAACGTAGCGTGCGTGTGCGTTCGTGCGTGTGTGTTTGCCTGAGCGCTTGAACGGAGGAGAGGCTGTAAGAGACAACCGTGCGGCGAGCATCTACGGGGGAAGACACTGCAAACTCCCGAGAAGTTGTCAAATAGCGGGTGCGGACCACACCGACCGACAGCATGACTTCTCGGTTTACGGTGTCCAAGACTGAGAAAAATCTCCTCGCCGACGACGCTTCGGCCGAGCGTCGCTACGGTTCCACGGGCCGCGGCAGTGCGTCGGGCTACGAGGACTCCGACTTTCACGGTGAGCGTTTTTTTTTATTTGTTTTGCCAAGTTTTGCGCCTAGTTGGGTCGAACTTGTTAAAACGCGTCGTGTTTTTTTTTTTCTCATGATTTATGCGAATATATGATCGCTTTTGTCACTGCACGAGCTGAAGCTGTTGGGCGTCGTGACCAGAATCTATAAGCGTGGCAATGTGTCGTGCTCGGCAGGTGAAATGTTTCGAAGAAACAATGAAAAGGAAAAAAAAAAGAGGGTCCCTGACTTGATGGCCTTGCTATAGTTCAGGTTTTTTTCTTTTTCTCTCCCCCCCCCCCTCCTTTTGCCAATGCGGTAATCGCGCATATGTCGGTTCGTTTGATTTCCCCTGATGGCGAAGTAATTTGTCTGCGCGTCGATCCTTTAAGGCGGTAGAAAAATTGCAGAAAGTAATAAGACTGAGAAAATGCAGTGAAGTACTGCTACCAGCTGTCTCACAAGCCGTCTGCTTTCTTACTGCGTATGACATGACCGCGCCTGGCTCAGTTGCTTCTCTGGATGCTGTGGAAAAATAAGTAGAGAGATCGTCTACGGTCGTTTCACGCAGCCGGAGGTTATCATGAATACAGATGGACAACGCTGGGGAAGCGCTGCTCACGCTTGTTTCCGTGTCGGTTTTGGCCGGCGGCGCTGAAATTTACTTCGATTCGAAACCGTTGTCGTCTGCTGCTGCAGCAGACGACAACGTCGTCTGTCTGTCTGCTACTGCAGCAGACGACAGAAGCGCATTGCGCCGTCAACGCGGTTGTAAATTGATGCACGCTGTGGTTCCATCAAAGAGAGGGATAGAGAAAAAACAAAAAAAAAACTTGAAGGAAGCGTTTGTGTTGGGTTCTCTTGTGTGTCTGCATACTTTACCTGCTTTCGTAATGGTAGGGAGCTACGTTTCTTTGGTTTGGGAATTGCTGCCCCCCTCCTTTTTTTTTTTTTTAATTGCGCGCCTTCGTGGGAGTGCGTAATGTACTTTTGCGTTGCATCTGCACTTAATTTTCTGAACCGTGTGAAAATGGTAAATTTTCTTCCCAATGGGACTCGTAAGCGTTACGTTATAATACATCCGTATGCGGGTGGGAAATGAAAGCACGCGAGAAAGCGTAGCTCACTTAAGTAACTTTGTGTCTCTCGTTTGTTTTTCTTTCTTTTTTTTTTTCGCCTGTACCTTTCGCGTAATGTGCATGTCAGTTTTGGGCTGTTCTAGCGCTCATAATTTTGAGGTTTAACACTGAACGGACAAATGAACGGTAATATTTTTTTTTTCGTTCATAACTTGATACGGCACATAGAACGCGCACACGGCCTTATCGTGCAAGCTTTGTTTTGATGCGTTGCTAGGCCGCCATTTGAACTTGTTTATCACTTAAGTGTTGAATATAACCAGCAGCCCACCTGTTCTTTTCTTTTTTATTCCTACAGTTGCGAAGCTGTGCGAGTTCTTGTTGGTCAGACATACGTTGTATAAGCGTGAAAGCACGAAAAAACTGCAGATGGAAAGCCGGGCCCCTTAATAAATGTGCTTTATATTTACGCCACATTTTAGTAAGTTAGATATATAACTTATCTGCCCGTTTATGCTCTTATTGTTCAAGTATGACGTAATATTTACCCTTTTCTTCCATGACATCCTCGGTACACCATTGGACGATGCGCATTCCTCGCTTGGATGCTGAGTGATATCCGTGGGGCTACATCTCGGTTGAACAATATAGCGTTGTCTTGCGACACCTGCAAGCTTCTCGTTTCATGCTGCTATAGCCAAATATGAGCCTGTGTAAGTATCTTTCATATGCTCGCGTAACGGGATGCGCATTAAGCGAGAAAATGAAAACGATTGCATCCGTTTATTGCTAAACTGGATAACAATTAAAATAACTCTACAAAAATGTGTGGTGTGTTTTTCATTCCGACACGACTCGTAAACAATGTTCGTATTCGTTTTTTTTTTACCCGAAAAACGGGGATCTCGAGCAAGCGGCCTGCACATAAATGCCTTCGTACTATTTTTTTCTTATTGGGTATGGGCATGAGCTAGCATGACTGGTATAGAGTATTTTTTTTTTTTCGTGAGGCTGAGGCATCCCATGCAGTCACAATGTGTTTATACATACCCGTGAAACAACTCTGTTAATCAGAGTCTACGTCCAGATTTTAGGCATTGCAGAGATCGGTATCGATACCTCGTTGGAATTGCTGTCGCCAAATCCCCCCCCCAGAAATGACTGCTTTATAAAATATGGGAAAAAGGTCTTTCAAGTGGCAACGGTGACCGACTTTTTGTAACATGGACCCCCGCCCCCCCCTCTTTTGCCCGTTTTTACCTTTTTTTTTTCACTTTCCCGGCCCTTTCGGTGCTTTTTTTTTTTTTTTGGCTTGGGAGTTAGTGGGGTTAACCTTGTTCGCCCGGCCTACGAAAGCTGAAACTTCGCAAATTTCTCTGTACTGCCGCGATAACATTTTCCACTGGAGATCGAGAGGCTGCGAGATTTCTTGAATGTAGCCGATGAGAGCACTACGAGGAAATTACGTTCCATTTGTTCCCAATAAGCAGAGAACATCGAGGGAGAAAGAGCTCCAGAGATAATGTGGTGTCATTCGGAAACGCTTCAGACGTTTTGTGACGGATGTCACGTGACCGCGCGCGCACCTTTTGCTTGTGGCGTCTACTGCATCTGACCTCTCGGCGATGCCGCATGCAAAGGTGTTACTCGCTGTACAGTGCGTGCACCGTCTTATTGAATGTTGGCACCGGCTACTCACTGGACAGTTGTACCGTTTTTTTTTTCGCTACACATGTGCGCGCAGCGCCCCCTGTAGCCGGACCCCCCCCCCCCCCCCCCCCCTCGTTTGTCCAATCTTGCAGTTGAAGAGACATTTTAGTTATATAAGTGACCGTCATAGTTTTCGGAGTTGTGACGTCGCGAAAGTGTAGCATAAGCCCCGAGGCTTGCACCCCCCCCCCCCCCCCCACTAAGTATTTTATGAATGCTGAGTGCTATGCACGGGTTACGCGCTGTGCGTTGGTCGAGCGCCGACGGCGCCGCTGCGTGTTAAATGGAAACTAAAAAGTGCCTTTGAAAAAGATAGGTCCTCCTATCGAAACGTCGGCCAGCCAGTCTGAGGCACTTCCACTGTTCACCCTGATTATCCCACTGAAGCTAAGTTGTATCAGTAACGTAAATAATAAACAACGCAAATGACAAAATAAGTCCGTCCTCATCATTTTGCCGTACACCCACAAAAGAAGTGCGATAGTTTGCCTATCAATGCTCACGCCGGCATATTCTCTCGGGTGTCAATGAGTACGCGCATCATTGCTTCAGATAACACTGAGGTCGTGCACATATGTCATCTTCAATATGACTGCGTGGGCCCGCCATCTATATAGCTGTAATGTGGGGGGAATTAAAATACTTGATGCATCTTCGCACCACCTTACAAAAATGTCTCGCTGCAATAATCATGCAGACCATGAGTCACCATGGACGATTCACCCCCCCCCCCCACCATCACCATATAGACTGTTTTACGAACGGGTTTTAGTGCCGCCATATTCGGCTGTTAACGCTTGTGTTTTGCATCTTTAACAACTGGACGAACAGTGCATGCGATGTTTCGCGGCCTTGTTTATTCACGTCGTGGTATACAAGTTCAAGGAGACGTCCATTTAACAACAGATCAAGATAGCGGCGCCCAGAGGTGAGGGGACCATTGGTGCACTCTTCCTGTAGATATTCCGCTCAGCCTTTGTAAATGCGGAATGTCTGCAGTTTCGTAAAAAGGGAACACCTCGGTCGATCGCTCGAAGGCTAATTCTACGTCTTCTTTTTGCTCTAAGACGATGTACTACCCCCCCCCCCCCCCCCTGCTCCCTCTACGAAAGCTTTCTACAACAAACATAGTTTTGCAGTGCTTCCAGGATCTGACGTCACAAACGTTGGCGATATGTGGCGTCATCATGTAAGACGTAATCACGTGGTGATGTTTCTGCGTCACTCGCGTGGACGC